CTTTTTATTCTCCAATTCTTTGCTCCTTAAGGGCTCTGCCTGCACGTACGGCCCTTCCTGAGGAGAGCTGGCACACCAGTACTGATGTTATAAATAATGTTGGCTCCTCTCCCTGCTTCTTCCCCTCCCTGCATGGAGCATGATTGGCTTGATTACAGAATTTGCCCTGTTTAATATCACCAAGACAATGAGACACCTCCAGCCTGTTTAACAGAAGCTTTCAAAGATATCTACACTTTAAACATCGAAACGAATAGCTTTTCTCTCCCAGAGGCTGTCAGCTTCTCTATGAGATTCTGAGCTGTCCTTACGGGAAGCCTCCTCTCCTCCGAACACATTCGTTGCACAGCGTTCGAACACACTGTACCAAAGGAAGGTCTGAGAGTTGAAGTGCCTTTTATACGCCCACTTTGAATCACCGATTCTCTTTACAGAGCTGTGTCGGCAGCAACCACTTCGCAAAGTCTTGTGTTGTGGTTTCTAGATTCTGAATCTGTGTTCTTCTAACATTTACAAGAAAACAATTATTGCTGCTAATTTAAACAATAACCAGAAAGCCCTGAGTTCTTTAAACAGAGTCGGGAAGAGCAGAATCTGTCTAATCCTTGGAGCTGGTGAATCTCAGGCTTGCAGTAATTGAATAAAACATGCAATGCCAACCTGGTTAGTAAACTAAAGTACTTAGGCTGACAAGCTGTAAACACATTCAAAACAGCCATGGCTCGAGGCCAGGGTATGCACACTCTGAATTATCTCCAGTGCTACTAGCCACTCTGACGGGCCTTGGTTCAGGTTGCAAGATTGCACTTATGCTGTGACTCAATCTTTTGGTTTTTAAGTCTTTGGAGTAGCAAGAAGCACCACCCAGTTGAGAAGAAAACACCAGAACCTTATGGGCATGAGATACCTGTGAAACTTGCTTTATACTACTTTCCATCTTCCTTTTTGTTTTCTTTCTTTTTTTTTTTTTTTTAATGTAGTTCATGAGGAGTGGGAGCAAAGCACTGATTTCTTCCTTACTTATTCAGAATTGGCTGGGTGTTGGGACCTCACAGGTCCCATGGCAGACAGGTGGGGATTGCTCTGGCTACTGCCCTGTGACAGTCCTGTAGGATAGATTTATTCTGAAACAAGTGGATAGAGAGGTAGCCAAAAGATGTAAGGGCAGTGGAGAAAGGCTAGAAATGAATGCTGGCATCAAAGAGGTAGGGACAGAGTCAGAACATGAAATACTAGTCAGACTTGTACAAGTGAAAAATGGGCTGACCGAGCTGGGTAGAAAGCATGGGATGGACTGCTGACCACCTGGCACTCCCTGCTGAGTGGTTAAGGTTTGCCAGTACAGGCTGCTCCCACATCCTGCTGGGAACATCCCATCTGCACTTTGGTTAATAGGTGTATTTTCCTGTAGCTAATGTGGTCTGGTAGATGTAGTACCAGCTCCTCCCCTTGCCACAAGCAGCTCAAAGATTTCTGACTGCTTCCTTCTTGCCAGGGTAGGGGAAAGGAGTCCTCAGCCTTGGCAGGTCTCCCTGAACCGGTGGCGAGCTTGATACCTATGCTCAGGATGTTCTGTCTCTTAACTGCCCTTCTGCCTGGAGTGCAGAAATGGAGCAGTCAGTGAGGCTGTTGCGGTCACAGCATTGCTCTTTGTTTCCCTTTTTTTGTCAGATACGGGCAAAGCAGAAAATGCCCTTGGAACTGGGTGCATTGCATCTTGGCATGCTGTAAGGGGAGCGTGAAAGGACAGTGTCGTGGTGTCTCTGCCTGCTAATTGCTCTGTCTTGTTTTGGGTGAGCAGGTGAGCCTGTTCCTGATTCTGTAAGTGAGGAATGTTGTAACACCAAATAGTAAACTTGCTCCTCTTCTTCCTGGTGTTGGCACCAGCTCCCAGTGAATCTCTCAGTCCTGCAGTACTTTTCATAGTAAGTGTGACTTAAAAAGTGCCCTGAGGCTGAAGAAGCAGAGGAGCTGTTTTTCAGATGTTCCTGTAGCAGCAAGATGCTGCTCAGCACAGCCCCGGATGACATTGCTGGAAAAGGCCTCCCTCAGCAGGAGACTCTTGTCAGGGCACTGGCTCTCGGGAGGGAATAGGGAGCAGCAGCACAATGCAGACAGGAGTGCCGTGGTGTCACATTGATCCCTGACACAGCAGGAGCAGCAGGAGATGATATTTTCACATGTGAGGAATCTGTATGTAAATTTGAGGCACTGCGTTGGAAACCTTGTAATGTGTTCTGAGATTATTGGCTGAACTCCCCCGAGGGCTTCTTCAGCAACTGCTGCCCTGTAGCTTAAAGCAGACAGGCCCTGCCCTGGCTGCATCAGAGGCTGGGCTTTGGCAAGCATCACGCTTGGAAAACGCTGCTGTTATAAAGGGTTGGGACAATACCGTGGACTTTGCAAAGTGACCTGGTGGTCATGGCCAGGAAGGCAGGCCTGTAGTGTGTCCCGGGAGATGTTTGTCTCTCTGAAAGCACATCTCTTTTAAAGAGCGGAAATTAACATTCAGGCAGAAAATGCTGTCCCCGTCAGCTGACGGTGCCCGGCAAGAACTGGCTTGTAAATTAAAGCTTTTATTTGTGAAGAGGGGAACTGTTGTGCCACTGTCGTGATGGGGAAGTTTGAATCATTTAAATAACTTGTCATTGTGTGCTGCTCTTCACAGATGTTGCAAACATCCCCAGCTGGTTTTTAATTCTTCACCTCCTCCAAGAGAACCTGCTAAAGATAATTATAGTGCTGTGTCAATATTGACCAGTTACCTCATCCTCAGCGGTGGGGACTTTGGAGCACTGTTAGTTTTTCTCAATGCTTCTCTGTGAAGACGCGTTTTCCTTTTGCAAGTGTTGTAAGAAGTCTTTGGAAAGCAAGCGATATTGTGTTTGTCTTGCACCAGGGCTGCTGGGAGCTTCACGCAGACAGCTACGTGCCTGCCTCTTCGGATGAAGGCAATCTTTGTTAAACATGTTGGGGCTGCCTCTCTTGATTACATGTGTACCATATATGTACCATGCCTTACAAAACGGTCCACAAGGTGTACATCCAGGCACTACTGGCACAGAAATCATAAGGAATGATCATAATGTTGTTGCACATTCCTGATTGAGCTGTAACAGGCAGTCACACGGGCGCTCTGTAGGTGCACAGAATCTGTTGCAGCATTCATTTTACCATGTAGCTTGTCACTAGCGTTCTCCTGAAATCTTCTGAACATGACTGCTGAATTACAAATTCCTAGCTTCTCTGAGATGCCCTTTCAGGATTTTAAAAGGCACTGTGGTTCTTACTGAACCTCACTGAAGGGTGGGATGCAAAGACAAGTTCTTCTTTCCATGTAGTGCCTGACGTGTGTGTAAATGTTACTCGTTTCCTTCAAACAGCTTCTGTCTGCCACTTTGATTTAAGAGGTGATGGTGGTATTTGACACCTCACAAAATTTTTGTAAAGTAGTTGCTGCAAGATCTTTTAGCCTAGAAAATAGCTTGTGAAATTTAATGAAAGTGTTCACAAATCAAGATGGTTATTGATGAGACTGAATCCAGAAATATCTGGGAGCGTGAGGATCCGTTTCTTTCTTTGTGTGGTGCGTGGGCTCGAAGTCGCACTCGGAATGTGGTAGTTACTGTAAGGTTGCCTATAGCCCAGATACCTTCCCTCTGAAATGAATCTCATATATACACCTGCAGGGTTCCAAGCACAGCACCCTAAACTAAATGGATTTCTCTTTTTTTGTCAGCCATAGAAGGGCTTTATGTTCAGCCAATAGAGTGGAGCATACTGCTATGTTTCCTGATCTTCCTGCTCCTGACATCAATAGCTGAAGATTCCTCTGGATATTAACAGAAGTAGGATTGAGCCCAAATCAACCCATCCAAAGCCCTTGAAAAGTATCTACCCTTTCAGATCCAACTACTGACTCCATTCTCAGAGACGTTTAACAACATAAAAAGGTTGCAAGAGTTGTAACAAGCCATTTCTGTGAATGACAGAAATAAAAAGAACTGGAAATAAGATTCTGTAAAAGGGGAGTGTTTCCCATTATTTATAACGTTTGTTGTTCGGCCACATAGTATTCAGAGTTTATGGAAATACTCAATTTCACTATATCAGGTTAAACATTTTTCAATTAACAGTTTTGAGAGGAAGGATAATTGAGATTCAATAGAGGGAATTACTGCTTCTCTTAACACTTGATGTTAGTCTTCGTTGATGTGCACATTTGCCCATGAATGTAATTTTTTTTTTTTTCTTCTCTTTCTTCAGTTGTTTTACTTAAGAACTCCTTCATGGAATCCCAATAAGAAAATCAGCATGTGCGTTCCAAGCAGTGCTGATTATTCCATCCTCTAAAAATAGACATTGTGCAAGCTGGCACTGAAAAATAATCTAGTGAATGGTAGAGACTGCGAGAAAGAACAGCCATCTCTACAGCAATGTCAGGCTGTAACTGCTGTATATTCATGTGCATCTGCGTAGATGCAGGGAAGGCCATCCTGTCTGTACAGAGAAACATGGCTTTGGAGTAAGATCATAGAGAACTCTTGTGGGAGGAGGGAGTGAATTGCACGTAACCAAGGATCCCTAAGGTTTTTTTAGGAGGATAAATTCTGAATTTTTCAGTTCTGTGAGTTTTGTGAAGAAGTCCGTGCACCTAATTGAGGCACCAAAGTTGGATGACTAAAACTAACACCTGTAAATTAATCTAAGTGACATCAGTTGCTGGTAAATAAACATTTTCTTTAATGTTTTATGTTTGCATGTTTCTAGAAACAGGACACTGAGCACAAGTGGGTTTTTTGTATGGTTAGGTTTTTTTTAATCTGAAAGTAAACCAAAAAACCCAAGTATGCTGTGGTCAGCTGAATAATACCTTTTACTCTCCATCCTCATTCTTGTTTTTTTCTTTCTCTCCCCTGCCCCCACCTTTTTTCTTTGTGTTTCTTTTTGTTCTTTTTTTTTTTTCTTTTCCTTTTTTCTCCTTAACAACTTCTTTGTAGAGTGAGCCAGACCTGGAGAAAGGCCTGGAGATGAGAAAATGGGTCCTGTCAGGCATCCTAGCCAGTGAGGAAACCTACCTGAGCCACCTGGAGGCTCTGCTGCTGGTAAGCGCTGCTGACGGATGCCATTTCAAACACTGGTACTTGAATTTTCAGTTACTTCCATCCAAAGTTTCCCAGAACTTCACATACCATGGGTTACAAGTTGCTGGGTGGAAAGGATACCTGTTACTCCTCTTCTCCAGTAGAGAAAGAGAGGCTTAAAGGAAGGACTGGGTATGGCACAACCAGGGAGTTATTAGTGTGGTAGTATTCAGGACCCCTGTCTTTCAGTATCCTGTGCTGATTATTAGACACGTTGCTGTACACTTGTACAGAAATTAAGGAAATGCAATGCAAAGGGATTTTTATTCGCACCATTAATATCCTGGGAAAATTCACCTACCAGGGATGGCTGATCCCCATGAGAGAACTTGTTAATGTCTAGCTTTCAGGAGTTGTGTGAATGCAAATATGACTTATTAATAGGATGAAAAACAACTCTCTGGAGGGATGTGTTGTAATGTGGCAAGGGTGAATGTTCTTGGTTTGCATGATAACGATTTCCTTCATTTGTCATTTCAGCCTATGAAGCCTTTGAAAGCAGCTGCCACCACCTCTCAGCCTGTGCTGACTAGTCAGCAGATTGAGACAATATTCTTCAAAGTGCCTGAGCTCTATGAGATCCACAAGGAATTCTATGATGGGCTCTTTCCTCGAGTGCAGCAGTGGAGTCACCAGCAACGTGTAGGGGACCTCTTCCAAAAGCTGGTGAGTCAGCTGCCATCACCAACACTTCTGTTACCTCTCATTCGTCTCACAGGGGCTGCTGTGATTCCCTTTGACTGTGCATAGACCGAAGGGATGAAAGCCCATGGCTGGGTTAGATGAGAGGCTTCTAGATTTGCCACTGCAGTGAAGGGCCTTCAGCAAAAGTGGCTGTTTCACTGCCTTTAATTAAAGACTCCAGCAAGCTCTGCTACTAATACAAATACAGTTTCACAGAAGTGTTGAATCTCCAGGGTGTCTGCAGTGTAGTCAAACCATTTGCTTTAGAGGAAGGTGGGAGAATGGCAGTGTTAAAAAGCATCGTTTTTAACACCGACAGCTAAGTGGTTCTCATTATTGCTGAACTCCCTCACACGTACTTCCTTCTCTCTGTGGTGCTTTGCTCTATCTTGTGCTGATTTTCTCCATTTTATGGTCATCAGCTTAGACTTTGCTTTTCTACCGCCATCCTGGCCTCGATATTCCCCTTGCTGCTATGCTGAGATCCTCCAAGCAAACTCAACACTCTGTTCCGGTGCAGAACCGGACAAAGACATTTACAGCATATTCCTGGGGCTGAATTAAAATTGCTGAGTTTGAGCCAGATGATAAATTGTTTGCATTCTAGGAGATTCTTGTGGCCCTTTTAGCCTCTCCCCTAGCATGTGCAGAGGGCAAAGGATTAAAGGAGCTGTTTTTTCCTTTTTAGAAAAGAAAAGAATCTCTGCATTCCTGAGGTGCCTCTGATTCTCAGGGTAGGAGTGACATTCCAGTGAGGGGTTTATTGGATGGGGAGTATGCTTTACCAGGGTCACTCAATTGTTAGCAGCTGTGTAGCCCAGCACCAGCCCCATTCCCTATGGAGCAGGAGGAGATGAGCCTGGAAGGTGGTGTCTTCCATGCGCACCACCAGCTCAAGATCAAAATATGGGCATCAGCTTTTCACTGCCAGCATGTTTTAACCAGGAGGGGTCAAGTTGGTGCCTTGGTGAGTAGTTCGTGGTATGCAATTTGAGCAACTGGTTTAAGAAGACAAAATCACCTGTTGCTGGTTGCTGAAGCAAAGATACAGAAGGCTGCTGAAAGTAGGAGCCTCACAAACTGCATTGACAGTGTAGTGCAGCAATGAAGAGAGAACTAATTGAAGAAGACCTGAATATATTCCTTACCACTGCTGGCTGTCGAGCAAGCTTTGACTGTACAGCTACTTCGGCCTTTGTTTAAGACCGTTTCTTGCTGACGGTGATCACGGGTGCAGGAGGTAAGCCCTTCTGACACTGATTTTTCTCCATTTGTAACAGAATTGTTGATTTTGTTGGATTAGTATTGGAAGCAAAGAAGCAAATTGCCCTAGTGCAGGAAGCTTCGAGCTAGCTTAGCAGTTTCAGTTTCTGGTGGTTTGGTACAGTATCAGTGGGAATTGCAAACTCTTTGCTGGATGAGATAAAGCTAATAATTCTTGGCAGGCAGTGGGAAGCAGCTAGATGAGAGACAAACGGCAAGAGCATCAGGCATTACAAGACATCCATACAGGATGTACATCAAATCTTTTGGAGCAGAGTGTTTACTTGTGATCATGTCATGCAATCTGATGATAAACACTGGAATCCTTGTTATTATCCTGAGGTCCCCAGGGACATTAATTTTCTTTAATATCATGCAAAACAAAGCACTGTAGATTGAAGTTATTATAGATGGCGCACGCAAGGAGTTTTAGATTTTCGTTGGACTGGCACAGAGTACAATCCCTTT